GGTCGAGGACGACGTCGGCGTTGGCCTTGACGTCGTCCCAGCGCCACGACGCGCCGACGCAGGGCAGCTCCGCGGTCACGTTCAGAGCGTCGACGCCCGGAATCGACGACCGCACCAGGAGGTGGCCCGAAGCTTCGCCGACGTAGGGCCGCCGGTCCAGCGCGACGGAGACCTGCTCGGCGTAGGCGATTTCGACGCCGGCGCCGACCCAGGTCTCGCCGCCGTCCAGCGACACCTTGAGCAGGCCCGGCGCCGGCGCGGACACGGCCGGCGCGACGCAGGACAGCGTCGTCGCCGAGGCGACGGACGCGTTGACGAGCGGCGTCGTCGCGTTGATGAGGTGCGTCGAGCCGCCGGGCGCCGGGTCGACGCGGCAGACGGCGGCGTCGCCGGCGAAGCCCGTGCCCGTGACGACGACTTCCGTGCCGCCCTCGACGGCCAGCACCTTGGGCGACGCGCTCGTCACTGTTGCAGCGCTCGCACCGGCCGAGGGCGCCACTGTTGCAGCGCTCGCACCGGCCGAGAGCGCCAAGAGGACGAGCACACGAGCGACCATCTCGACCATACTCGCGATTCTGGGGCAGCTCGACGTCAACAACCTCTGCATCTTCAGCTCATCCACTGCATCTATCCACTGCTACGGCGACGAGCTGAGGCAGCACCGCGCCGCGTCCACCACGCCCCACACCCATCAATCCGAGAGCCGAAGAGGAGATCAGGAATAGAAACCAATCACGACGGTCAAATGAGTGCATCCGTGATCGTAGTTTTTCCTAAACCGTCGCGCGCAAAACGTGCGCGATCCGAGGCCTCGACGCCGCGCGCCGCGACGGCCGACCCCGCCGCGCGGCGCCGCCCGCGACCCCCCCCCCGCCCGCGCGCAGGCCGCCATGTTCGCCCGCGCGCGCGTCCTCGCGCGGCCGCTGCGGCTCGCGCGGCGCGGCCTCGCGGCGCCGAAGAGCAAGAAGTCGAAGCAGGCGTCGCAGGCCGCGGACAACGACCACAAGGACGCGGCCTACGACTTCTACAAGGCCATCATCGACGCGCCGAAGCGCAAGCGGCCCAAGCTCCCGGACGACGTCGCCGCGGCGCATTTCGCGATCGGGCGCGAGTACAACGTCAAGTCGCGCGCGAAGCACGACGCGTTCGAGGCGCGGCTCCAGATGAAGCTGGACCTCCAGCAGGCGGCGCTCGACGCGCTGCCGGTGGACCTGCGGCGCCGCGCCAAGACGCTCGAGGGCGTGCCGCTGCCGCCCCTGGACCGCCGCGTCTGGACGCTCACGCCGCCGATCCCGGGCTTCCGACCAGAGGACCACGTCGACGAGGACGACTGAGGGGCGTTTTTCTAAGCGATCGTTACTACAAGTCGACGGTCTCGCCGACGGGGTCCGCGGGCGCGGCGACGGGCGGCGGCTCGGAGGCGGGCTCGGCGACGGGCGGCGGCTCGGA